TCCCAAAAAAAAAAAAAAAAAAAAAAAAAAAAAAGGGGGGGGGGCCAAAAAAAAAAAAAAAAAAAAAAAAAAAAAAGGAAACAAAGGTTTGGTCGTGATTGCAGTTGTATACATTCTTGGAAGTGGTAGTGTGAGTGCGCCCTCAATGAGGGCATCTCAGCCCCATGGCCAGGTTGTCAGATTCCAAAAAGAGAATAAAAGGGGGAAAAAACGGACACATGGATCCGGCCGTGAAAATGGCTGGATACATTCCCCTAAGTGTCAGTGTGATGAGCCTTACAATCCTCTGACAAACCACAACTTGAGCAATTCACGGACAGGGGACTCATAAGAAACACACGACCAACAAAAAAAAGAAAACAGTAACATTTAGAATGTGACCGCCTTACCTGTAAGGTGCATTCTGTGGAGGAAGATTGTGATCACGGCCTCCTGGACTACCCAGCCCGACATCATTGCAGTAGAGAAAGCATTTTTTTTCCCCCTTTTTCCTGGACTATAAAATTCATATTTATGGGACATTGCCGAGCCTGTGTCCCACCCCGAAAAGTTCGGGTACTAGCCAAGACATCGTATTTTCTTAACACTGGCGGAGGTATTCGTGACAACCAATTCAATTACCTGTCAAATCTGGACAGGATGGTCTATGAGGCCTTTTTTTTTGTCATTATGGTATTACGGGGAACCCCGTAGCAGCCACATCCGTGCTCAAGCCTCCAACGAGGGAACATGCGGGAGCTGCACCCACTAGCAGGTGCGATACCTGCTACAGCGGGTGGGCGATACCGGCCAGGGGTTAGCCGGTAGCATCAGGACCGAGCTTCTTCGATGGGCCACTGCCAGTCATTATGCCTCCCCTCCGGTCCCCTCCCCCTATGAACATCAACAGTCTCTGCTCAATGCCATTTGGGGGGACCAACGACATATCTCTAGGTGGCGGGCGCCAAGCTTGCCCAAGAAGGTACATGAGGCCAATGGGGATTGAACCCAAGACCTCCTGAATGTCACTTCTGTGCCTTACCAACTGAGCTAGGCCGCTGGATGATTTTTTTTTTTTTTTTTTTTTTTTCAACAGTCACTTCCATTACCAAATCATCAAACCTTGAGGTCGGGGATCTCACAATTCAACCCGGAGTTATCCCGGCAGCCTCAGCCAGTTTCGCTTACAGCCATCAGGGTTGGAGTCTCTCCCTGAATCTTACCTCTTCAGATACCCATCATTGTGATACTAACAACTCTTCATCCTATCACACTGACTTCTTCCAGACCACTTCCTTCGTTGTGACCTCCCCACTAACCTACCCATACCCCCCATTTGTTCTAGTATTGTCCTATCACCCCTACCCTATCTTACTCCCGCTCTAATTACCCCTACCTCATACACAGGCCTACCCAGCCTGCGACCAGCGTACTGCGGCCGGTTGGAACCACCGTTCCAAGTCACCATGGTACTCTGCCACCCTCCACCCCTCAATGACCTACTGCGGTCGTCCCCTCGAACCAAGATACCCTGGGTCGTACAACCACTGACCAATAAACTGATCAACCCTAGATAGCTCCCCTCAGTCGGTTAGCCTGCTCAAGAGTTGCAGCCCCCGTGTCCGATGATAGCCCGCCAACTGGTTACGGATTGCCCTCGTCTTCAAGAACCACCATAGCTGGCTATGGCTGGCTTTCCCTTCTTTTGCCTCCCTCCGCCAGTTCACCGCAATTGCCCGTCTTACGCCTTTCTTGACCGCAGCTTTGATCTCCTTATCTGAGAATGAGCGTCTCTCAAACCTGGCCCGGTTCTGATCCGCCCAGATGACCGCACAGATCACAGCTCTAACTACTTGTGCTACATACGGCCACCCTCTCAGTCCCGTGCAGTCCTCTGGGGGGAAACCTAACAGCACCCACTTTTCATCCCATTTGATTCCCTCTCCTCCCATCAGTTGTCAATGTATGCCCCACCACCGCCAGATGCGTTTGGAGGTAGGGCATTCCCACCAGAGATGGCGAGTAGATTCAAACGGCCACCTACAACGGGTGCATCCCAATTCCACCTCCATCCCCCTGGCCCGCAGCCAAACAGCAGACAGCGTTACCGACAGTGATAACATCCACAGAATACTGGTGTGTTTCACATTTGGCAGGTCAAGCAGAACTCGCCATAGTTTCTCAAAGTTCCTTGCTTCCTCTTGGAGGTCTATCGAGAGCACTGCACTTCATCTTGATATTGCTACTATCGCCGACGATCTCTGTGGGCTATTCGCAGTGAGGTAGGATTCCCCTGCAGAATACACTGTTAAATTCAACCCTTGCGGATGTGCCCTCGTGGCTCTTCCTTCGGACCAGGACCATGCTTCCGGGTCAATCCGCAGGTCTCGCAGTGACATCTGTCCTACCCACTGTGTCTGCGTCACCCTCCTTTTTCCATCTCTCCTCTGTATCACTCGTATCTGTGGTGGGTTATCCCAAATCTGAATCATTCGTTCCTGCCCCTCCCTCAAACCCCCGTCCGTAGGACTTACCATCCACTCTGTCACCTTTCTGAAGCCACTCTCAGTCATCCCCTTGAGTCTTTATATTGTAGGCGGTGTTGTCGGAATCGTTGGTGCGTACCACGTATTTATCGGGTCTCGCCTCTCCGGGCCCAGCAGGTTCTTCCATGGCAGCGGTATGGCCTGCCTGATCGCCTGAAGATGCTGTTCCACATTCCTCAG